AGGTGTGCAGGAGGCAGCTGACCGATGTTTCTCTCTCATCGATGTTTCTAACTCTCTATCTCTCTCCCTTCCTCTCTGTAAAAAATCAATAAAATATATTAAAGTACTCTTCAACCACCATGTATTATTAAAAAAAAAACTAACCTGTTTGAAAATAAACCAAGTTTCAAAATTTCATCTGTTACATCTTCAATGAAACTCAGATACAACAGTTCTTCTTCACTGCGAAGGCAAAGCAATATATAACAAAAATTATTGGGGGTAGAAGAGGCCAGGGGAAGGTCAAGTGGGGGGGGGGGGAAGGAGACATATGTAATACTCTTTGTAATACTTTAAGCAATAAAACAAAATTTAAAAAAAATTATTCATTACTCACTCTGAAAACTACAGGAAATACGAATATTTAATTAAAAATCTCTCCTCTACTCATTAGAAATGTACTTCTGGCTCATATTATTAAAGAGAAATATTATAAAACAAACATGTCAACTTTCTGAAATTATGCAAGGATAAATATTGAAGATGAGAAAATATTCCCTAATAGAGTAAAATTTCACAGATGTCTGAGACATACATCCAGCAATAAACAACAAGCAGGGAGCCCCAGCCAGTTTGGCTCAGTGGTTAAGAGTGTTGGCCCCAGGACTGAAGGGTTGTGGGTTCGATTACAGTCAAGGGCAGGTATCTCGGTTGCAGGTCAGGGGCGTGTGGAAGGCAACCAATTAATGTCTCTCTCTCACATCGATGTTTCTCTCTCTCTCTCCCCCTCCCTTTCCTCTCTCTAAAAATCAATGGAAAAAAATATCCTCAAGGTGAGGATTAACCAAAACAAAACAACAACAAAAAAAGAGACTAAGCAGGGATTAAACAGAACAAGACAGAGGCCAACCAAGAGTGAGGGCAACATAAAAAGTTACACTTTCAAACTGCTTAACAGTCTAATATTTATCATCAAGTTAAAGAATAAATTAAACTATAAAAATATAGGTGTAGGCAAAGGTAGGTTTAGAAGGGTTGTGGGTTCGATTACAGTCAAGGGCAGGTATCTCGGTTGCAGGTCAGGGGCGTGTGGAAGGCAACCAATTAATGTCTCTCTCTCACATCGATGTTTCTCTCTGTCTCTCCCCCTCCTGTTCACTCTCTAAAAAATCAATGGAAAAAAATATCCTCAAGGTGAGGATTAACCAAAACAAAACAACAAGAAAAGAAAGAGTAAGCAGGGATTAAACAGAACAAGACAGAGGCCAACCAAGAGTGAGGGCAACATAAAAAGTTACACTTTCAAACTGCTTAACAGTCTAATATTTATCATCAAGTTAAAGAATAAAACTATAAAAATATAGATGTAGGCAAAGATAGGTTTACAGTTATTCGTTTGGAAAATAATACAATTATTAATAAATAATAATACAAGAATAAACTGTTTTGCATAACTCACAACTTTTCCTGACTCTTATAGATTATTTCCCCCCTAAAAATGCAGCTTAACTAAACAGCATTAATATCTAGAAGTAAAAATAAATAAAAAAACCTAGAAGTATAATATCTGCAAAGAACTGGTGAGGCTGGAAACCTCCAGGAAGGTTGTCCTGAGTTTCTAAAGTCTGAATTTTTCAAAAACTATTATTTTTACTTACAAAAATATACAAGAGTTATGGGTACTAATTATAAAAAAATAGGTATTAACTTAGGCACAAATTTCCACTGGAAATAAAGATGAAGTGATTGATAATTATTTCAGAAAATTTTGGTCATTTTCTTAAAGAGATGTGTTAGATAGTTGAGCCCCAAAGCTTTTTGTGAGACAAATCAGTGTTCAATCCTAACTTACTGAATAATAGTTTCTATGATTCTTAATTCTTGATTTCCACTAAGCAAAATGAAAAGATGAGAAAGATCTTACTCAGAGTAGATTTTTCTCCTTGAAGGAGGCGGCTGCACGGAATACTGACATAATGCCCTGAAAAGAGAAAATTAAAATATTTGAACAATGTTTGGTGCCTTGGCTGGGTAGTTCAGTTGTTCTGAGTGTCATCCTGTACACCAAAAGGTTGTGGGTTGGGTCCCCAGTCAGGGCTCGTATAGGAGGCAACCAACCAATGTTTTGTTTTGTTTTGTCATTTTTCTCCTTGAAGGAGGAGGCTGCACAGAATACTGACATAATGCCCTGAAAAGAGAAAATTAAAATATTTGAACAATGGTTGGTGCCTTGGCTGGGTGGTTCAGTTGTTCCGAGTGTCATCCTGTACACCAAAAGGTTTTGGGTTTGATTCCTGGTCAGAGCACATACCTAGGTTGTGGGTTGGGTCCCCAGTCAGGGTGGGCTCGTATAGGAGGCAACCAACCAATGTTTTCTTTTGTTTTGTCTTTCTCTCTCTCTAAAAAATCAATAAAAACATGTCCTTGGGTGAGGATTAAAAAAAACACAGGTGGGCATATAGTAAGTGTTCAACAATATCATATATTAGTAATAAGAGGTGCATATCCATGATCTAATCTAATCTTCAGAAAAACCCTGTCAGTTATATTGGGTAGGTATTATTTTTCTCACTAGTGAGTTCACCAGGGGGCAGAAAGGCCAAGTAAATAGCAAAGGCTGATTTTTTTAACCCATTCTTCTAATTACAGGGGGAGAGAGTTGGACCGATTTCCCCTGGAAGCTGTTACCTGGCTGGGGAGCACTGCAGAGTGCCATCCTTAACCTCTTCCCATGGTAAGCCCTTCTCTTGGGAAGGTGAAGGGGTTATGTTTTCTTTGGTTCCATAGGTCATACAACTAGATGCCTGGGGATGCAATGACAAGAATACATCCTTATTTTACTTGAAAAATACAATGTAAAGGCAGAAACAGCAAATTTTAAAACAGTTGAGGTAAGAAAGTAGAGATATCCAGTAGAAGAGCGACAGATATATTATGACAAAGGATGTTTTAGAACACATTTTCCATCCAATCAGGACATTTTTCTTAAATTTATTTCAAGTAAGATAAAACAGCCCGGCTGTGTGGCTCAGTGGTTGAGCATCGACATGTGAACCAGAACGTGACAGTTTGATTCCTGGTTAGGTCACATGCCTGGGTTGTGGGCTCGATCCCCAGTGTGGGGTGTGCAGGAGGCAGGAGATCGATGATTCTCTCTCATCATTGATGTTTCTATCTCTCTCCCTCTCCCTTCCTCTCTGAAATCA